AGACACGTTCAAAGCGCATCTGGTGGCTAGGGGGTTTTTGCAAATCCCGAACGTCGATTATTTCCATTCGTCTTCCCCTTGCCCCTCATCCGCATCCATTAAGCTGATGCTTGCGGTAGCGAACGAGAAGGGCATGAACCTCAATCACTGGGATGTGAAGCAGGCGTATACACACGCTACGCTAGACGAGGAGGTTTTTCTGAAGCTCCCCGCTGGGTGCGGGGACAAGTCGCATAAGATTGCTAAGGCTGAGCGTGCGATTTATGGTCTGAAGCAGAGCGGTAGGCAGTGGGGGTACCACGCTGCTGATACGCTAGTCGAGAACGGGTTCGAGCAGTTCAAGGCGGACCCGTGTGAATTCCGCAACATGGTAGACGAAGTCGTGGTGATGATTATTGTGATATACGTGGATGACATTTTGGTGGCTGGGTCTGACGAGGATTGGGATTGCGAGGAGTTGCTTACTTCTCTCAACAAGAAATTTCCCACCAATAATGTTGGAGAATGCGAACGGTTTGACGGGTGCGCCATTGAGAGAGATGGAGAGGCTGGGACTCTTAGAATCTCCCAAACCGCGTACACTGATAGCATGGTGAGACGCTTCGTGTACAATCGACCTTCCACATTCCCGCTACCCCTGGTGCCGACCTAGGACCAAAGCGAGATGACGAGGAGGGAGGAAAGTGGCCGGTGAGGGAGGCCATCGGCAGCATGATGTGGGTTTCAACGTTCTCGCGTCCAGACGTCTCGTTCGCCGTGCGTGCGGCAGCGCGCCACGCCCACGCCCCGGCGAAGCGGCACTGGGATGCCATACAGAAGATCCTCGGCTACCTGAAAGGGACGAGGGACCTCGGCATCACCTACCAACGGGGATCGGGGTTAGGGCTGGCCGTGTACGTAGACGCTAGCTACATCGACACGGAGGATAAACGTACGGTGTCAGAGTTGGCGACGACGGTTGGAGATACCGTAGTCAGCCATGGTAGCAAGACACAGAGCATCGTGTCTTGTCTTCGATGGAAGCCGAGTATATTGCTGCCGGGGAGGGCGTCAAGGAGGCGTTGTTTGTGCGTGCTGTGCTTTCGTTTGTTGCCCCAGAGACCAGTGGTAGCAGCATCCAGGTCCTTGAGGACAACCAGGGGGTCATAGTGTTGGTGCAGAACCCCCTCAGCTCCGGTCGCACGAAACACATCGACGTGCGGTTCCATTTCATCCGCGGATTGTTTAGGTCGGGGGATATTTCAGCCAAATTTGTTCCGACAACAGAGCAACACGCGGATCGCCTAACCAAGGCCCTTAGCAGGGCCAGTCTGCCGTACCACCGGCGCAAGTTGATGGATTTGCCGGAGTAGCTTTAGCAGTTTCTAGCACTTGGGAGAGGTCATGTTTTCCATGCGGGGAAAGGCGCATAACTGTTGCGGTCTGTGTACCAATGACAGGAGTAGGGGGCGTTGGGAGACCATCGTCCGGGGGAACGTAGTTCCTCGCGTTCTTGTCTTCGCCTTGGCCTTTCT